GACGCGTCCCAGCCCCGCTATCTAGAAAGAGAAGACCAGGCTTGAAATAAGAGTATATTCTGCAACAACCAGAAAACCAGCAAACTTTTTCACAAGACAATTTTAATAACGTATGTATACAAATATATATATATATATATATATATATATATATATCGATACTGCCATGGTGCTTTTAAACATTTAATCGATAGTTCGTCAATTGACTGCCATTGAAATATTTAAACATCAATCGATAAATTCGTCAATCAACTATGTGCGTGGGTGGTAAGAAATGCTCACGTATACATCTGCATACAAGCTCCACAAGATAAAATCAAAAACTATGAGTTTTTGGGGATCTATCGTCCCCAACACTCCTCCCCTTTTTAGTAGCGCACTTCTGGGGTCGACTTGCATCCTGACCGTTGCTCGCCGCTGGCGGGTAGGCCACCTTCTGGAACGGAGATCAGCTTCTTGTTGAGCTTCATTTCGTGGTGGAGCTGCTGGTAAGTTGAAAGTATCAAGCAGGATGTCAAGAGGGAGATTCGCTCCTGTTGATGGGCGGTCCGGGGTTATCCGCTTCCGTAGTTGGTTTCTGTGTCTTGTCCATATGTCTCTTCCCACGTTTACCTCGTAAATAACTTCGCCTGATCTTCCAACCACACATGCTTCGATCCAAGGACCGTGGTTTGCTCTGTAGTCTCGAGCGAACACCGGGCATCCAACCTCGTATGCTAGCATCTTCTGAGATCTGGTCTGAGGTGGTGGTGGTGTGGTTCTTAAACACTTAAGACTGTGGATCGTCCTCAATTTCCTTCCCATTAGGATCTCTTCCGGGGACTTTCGCTCCAGCAACGTCTCGTTTGGTGTTGTTCGGTACACGTATAAGAAATTTTGCAACGCGTCCCGTGGCGTCCCCTCCCCTTTTGTCTTAACTAAAGCTCTTTTAAACGTATCCACAGACCGTTCTGCCTGCCCATTCGACTGTGGGTGATATGATGGCGACCGTAAGTGCTCTAAATTGTCTTTTGAAATCGTTGATAAAGATAAATGATCATTATAAATACTCAACTTATTAGGATCAGAATTACAAACTGAGTGAATATGTCCAATATCACCGCATTTAAAGCACTTAGAAATACAAAATTTACATGAATTAAAAGAGTGGAACCTGCCACAGAACAAACATCGACCAAACTTGTGCCCATCTTCGTGAACTGCATTGCCTGCATAACCTTGAGTATGTACTGGGTTGAAGTGACGTAATGTGGTGGAATGTTTTATATCCTCATGAATCGTTTTACGAAATCTTCCTCCTTTACCGCATTCGGTATTTGTACAGACGGCCGAAATATTTATAGTTCTTCGGTCCTCTTCAATATCGACATCACCTCTGTCGATGTTGAGGAGGACCGAAGAACTATAAGTAGTTTGGTCGTTTGTACCTCAACCTGCCAGTATTACAGGACGATATTAAACTCCAGTAACCAGATACTTGACACTTGAGACTTTGATACCAATTGACTAATTTAGGTGAAACTCCCCAGTCACACATCCACACTTCACTAATCCACCTACTTCCCAAAACGTTTTGCGAGATATAGGTATGAACGTTTTATTTTCTGAAAAAATGATTAGAACACTAAACTCACGTATTTTGTTACAGGTATAAAGCTTTGATTTGATAGTGCCTAATCAGTAAATAAGGCATGTTCGGTTAGTAGGTAAAGTTCATATGGGTTGTTACCAAGGTCAAATGGGTCTGAATAATGATGTTTAAGGTGATATAAAAAGATGGAAGAACGTTAGCTGTATCCCGCAAACTAACGAAAAATCATGGAGTGTTCAGGAACTCTAATAACTTGATAATTGTAGCAACCTATCATATTATCTTGATTAATCAATTTTCCATCAAATTTGTACGCTTCTATCACAGACAAAGAGCTTGAATTAACACTTAACAAATTATCTTAGTGGAGAAGCGATGCAAACATTGAAGTGGCAAACATCAAAGAGCAACCTAAATACCATTGAATAATATCTAAGTACAACAATTCCTAAACAATCAACCTATCAGATTTCTCATGTTATTGTACCAGATATGACTTTTCCCAATGATTCATATATTTCTGATGAAATTTCTTACAAATCTGGTGAAAATATTTCGGATGAACGTAATCATGATCGAAAAACTGATGTAGTTTTGATAGATACTGATTTTTCTAATGATCCTTTACTCTGCAATGACATTCTTAATAAATTTGAGGAAACCATTTCAGAAGAATCAAATCTTGATGTCATATCAAATATTATTTGTCCTCATGATGCATTTGTTTCTTGTGAGAAACTTGTTCAGTGCGAAGCATGAGTAATAAATGAGCTCGATTTTTATTACAATTCAGATAATTCCATATCAACTGTTGTTTGTCCTTATCATAAATTCACTTTCAATGTTTACTCTAGTCAAATTGAGAAAGATGTTTTAAATGAAGCCATATTATTCATAACTTGGGGATATGAAGATCCGACATTATTTCGTGGGGGAGGATAGTCTATGGTTCGTATCCTAGGTAGTAGTTTCAGTATTCAACCGGCATGGTGATTGTTCATAATCCCAGAAATCAAGTGAGTCTGTTCCGAATTCCGTTGTTAATTCTAATACTAATGAGTGCATTCTAGATAATACAAAGTCTTTATCCAATACACTGTCGGACAGACACAGGATGAATTTAAGAAGACGTGCAATCAATTACAGACAGCTGGACTCCAATTTAGGCTGTGGCGGGTGTGGTGTTTGAATGAACTAATGATTGCTTTGTACTTGTTGAATGCTTGATTTTGAATTTCAAATACAGTATATTCGTTAGTGCTTGTATCGTACTTCTTGATTCAATTGCGTTATTTCTGGGATTCTTAGTTCATACTATAATTCAATTACTCCTAATTATCATACAACTGCAAAAGTCAAGCGAACTAAGCATCGTATCAAGGAACAACAGGCCAGCTTGTGTCTGCACATTGATGCTTGTGGGCTGAAAGCACTGAGCATTATTTCGAAGGACAAATCTAGCAAGACGAGTTCGTCAATAGCTTAAACCAGTGACCAAGCATTCAAATGTAGTTCTTGCGGTAGTTGGGTCCATTGTCTGTGTGACGATATGGTACCCACGTGATTTGGAACTAAGGAGAAAGGAACATAAAAATTGAACAAACGCAGCCCTATCAATTTTTGTCAGTGTACCCAAATCATCTAACACAGGTACAACCAAATACGCGACTATGGGACCCCAGTTTGCACATACTTCAGTCACGGTTGGTAGTAGAAAGCAATACGTAGGTGAAACGAAAAAATAGCGGTAACATGGCTCTTGAGACGCTAAATGTAACAGACAAAGACCCCTTGAACTTGTTTGACGTTTCAGTGTCGGAGGGTGAAACAAACGCCACACATTCCTTGGAATATGTGGCACTCTGGCATAACTACGACGCACGTATATGGGTGAAAATGTAGTGGATGGTAAGTCGCCTCCATTGTAGGTAAGTACGGATTTAGCAGGTGTTTCAGAAAAGTTTTTATTGACATTTCAGAGACCATCGATTAATTGGTCCTCTCAAATCCATGTTAAGTCACTAGAGATTACACCTGAACATCACCAACATACATTCATGAACCAAACAGCACGGTGATTCAAAGGTGCTTGAGTTGATGGGTGGTGGTTCGAGTGAAGCTCACCGATACTATATGCAACACTTTTGTTGACTATCTCATTAAATAAGACTTCGAAAACAATGACAATAGTTTGTTTTAGAGTCCTCACCTGTGACATCTCATGACAAATAAACCTTTTCATCCGATACGTGTAAACCTTAGAAGCCAAAAAGACCCAAGTGACGCTTTCTAAGCCCATAAATAATGAACTCACCAGCAACATTTGATAATATAAGAACCAACCAGTGGTCTTTTCTCGATGTTAGAATTTTTTCTTGATTATTTTTACAATTTTACCAATTAACCAGACGCCTGGTGGTGTGATAGCTACTGGTATTTGGATACTGTATTGTCTACAGTTAAACGCATTCAATGGAAAGAACATAAAAATTATAAATTTTCGTGTTGTGAGGCTCCGACAGATAATGATACTGAAGTTGATAGAGTTTTGTTCTCTGAGTTGAATGATACTGAATCCACTATGAGTGTAGCGCGAAGCCATATAAATAAACTTCGGATATGTTACACTAGTACCCGAAGCTTACTTTGTAAGCGGTCAGAAGTGTGTGTACAGATTAACTCTACCAAGCTAGATAGAATCGCAGTTACAGAAACTTGGCTGACGCAGCCTACCGTCAGTATGGAACTTGATTTTGAGGGTTTTACTGTGGTAAGAGCCAACAGAATCCAGGACCGTCAAAGAGGGGAAGTAGCTCTAGTAGTTAGGAATACTATCCCAACGGTGTATCCCACGAGAGTGAAACGTTTGAATTAGTTAGTTGAAAAGCAAAGGCCAAGTGCTGCTGATTGGTTTGGTCTACCGTAGTTCGAGCTGTGAGGTAAGTGAGGCCTTACTGGACAGATTGAATACTTGGTCACTAAGTGGTCGATGTTCAATTGTTGGAGACTTTAATCCACCCACGGTGACTGGAAAAATCTGAGAATTGAATTGTTAGGAAATTCCTTCGAACAGGAACCAGTTGATATCACATCGACTTTCCCGTCGAATCATCAAATGGAATTCATTACCTCTACACGCGACTGAATCTCTATTCATCGACTCTTTCAAAGGAAAACTTGGTCAACTGGGAGACCATTATTCCTGGGACTAAAACAGGCCATCAAGCCTCCTGTCCTTTCAAACTGAAACTGGAAATAATGCATTCGAGTGGCTGGAATAATCACCGATTTGACATGATAAAATACCTGAAATCTTACTGAATCGACAAGTCAGCGCAAAACCACCAATCGGTGTATACAATCTCGTCACAAAGACATTGGATCTTGTTTGTATCCCTTATTTTACTAGGACGAATCGACTTGCAGACGTGTTAAACTTGTGAAATGAAGGACGTTGGTCAACAGCAGTTGCCAGCTTTGCTTATTCAGTCGTCGAGAATTAATAGTAACACTCATATATTTATTAACTAGTTTGTAGGTTGGTTATTGTCACGTAAAATTATACAGACGGACTATCCGATAAAACTGAAAGACATAGATTGCAAAGTCAACGACTACGTTAATAAGTACCCAGAAGTTAATATTCCGATTTTTGAAAGCCCATGTAAAACTGCATATTCGTGTCTGTTGAAATTTGTTTAGCATTGTTTCTAGGATGCCGTGAATTTCTAGAAACCCTAGCAAAAACAGACAACAAAACTGACTTCTTCGGACGTTCTAGTCCGTTAGTCCGTGTATGCTCAATTTCTTTGAATTATTAGATATATAGGCATGGACAGAAATGCTCAGTTTGTTTCAGAAGAACAATTTATACTTGGGTAGGACCATTTCACAGTATAATCTTTTCAGCTGAAGTAGGAGATTCGATCAACGAGTTAGCAGCTGTGCAAATCCCTAGGTGTAAAATGTTCATTTCAGACAGAAACAAAAATTTAGTGGTACCTGCACGATGTAATTTATTATCTTTGAGGACCTACGCCAAAGGTTAAAGGAACAAAGCCTAAATCTCATCAGAAAAGAAGAGCTGTTGGAGAAGGTTTATAAAGAATTCCACGTTGATGTATGTCTGACTATATGTCAACCTTAAATGATGTCTGTATAGGTCAAGGAAGAAAACATAAGGTTGCGTCTTCTGGAGGAGGCTGGGAAAGTCCCTATGTTTTTGACAGAATTTGTATACTCTCTCACTTTCCTCAAAACTGCTCTCCAGTTGTACGTTAGCTTCAAAAACTTTGTCTTGGGAGGGTAAGTGTTGTATTCTCTCGTCCACTTTCTTGCTATTCTAGACACTATTGCATCACTTAGTTTTAACAACAACAAATGTGCATAACTTCCTATTTTCTGGAATTATATATTGATCATTGTGTGTAAAACACTTCGTCGGGTGTTCAACTAAAGCTACTTTTACGTAGGTTGAATTACTCTTATAGCGATATGTGTGACAGATTTATGAACATACACTTCTTTATATCACTTTATCAGAACAGCTGTCAGATTTTAGGAAGGATTACAAACACCGATATGCCTCAATATGTTAGAATACAAATGACTCTCAATTTAATAATTATCAACTAAGAACCAATTGAACAATTCGATAAAATCCAATAATCTAGCGCCTCGTGTAAAAATATATTGGTTTGTTTCCACATTTTGCTTCTAAAGAGAGAAGGATCTCTTAAATACTAGATGTGGTCAGTAATTTCTGATTGAAATCTTTAAGATTCTCCGAATAGTAATCGTTATTATCCAACCCTTTTGGTCTTAATTTTCTCACCTTTAGTAAGCGCCGGCATCAGTTCTTCATATGAGTTACCAATAGATAACTAAGTAAGGTTTAAATGTAAATCACTTGCAGTCTTCTTCGAAGTAACTTTTTCAAAAATTTTACTGTCTTGCTTTGAGATATTACCGTTAAAATTTTTAACAACGCTTGCTGTGATAAACGCCAGTTGCTCACTGCTTGACTTTTTCAGTTTTTCTATTCATCGCTCACCACTTTCGACTTTATTTTCGTGCTTTATTTTCTTATACAGTTGGTTAAAATTGGTGCTTTATATGTTTTTCGACTGGAAAAGTTTCTTTATAGCTGCCAACATAGATGTCATCTTAGCGGGATTTTATGAGAATCTGAAACATCGATATTATTGTATCAAACCAGTGTATTATATTAGAGCCTATACGACAATGCCTTAATTCTTAAACACACCCACCACAGTATAACTTTAATTTATAAACACACTTAACTCTTCTTAGTACCAGTCAATGTTTAGTATAAACACGAAACCTCCGGTCATTGTTTCTCCACTTGCACTGAGGAGGTATACTCGAGAAACTTTAGAAAGCGTTTAGTACTAAAGCCTTAATGGGATAGAAATGCAAACAAATGGTCATTCTTCATACGTTTCAAAAACATAGGCAGACAAATCATCTTAGAATCTGGCGTAGTGATATTCAGTAAACATTTCCTCGCTACATAGACAACTAGAATAAATCAACAGTAAAAACATAAGCAGTAAAATAACAATAATGTTTTTTAATGAAAACGTAAAGTAAAATATCCAATTGTCTATATAAACATAAGTTACCATTACTAAATAGTAAGGTTACGGTAATAAAACTGTATTCACAGTCTAATTTAAAGTAGCAGATAATGGCACTAAATGTATATCTTCAGTTTGTTTCTCGATCGTTTGTTTATTTATGCTCATTTAACCAACTATTTTTTTAGGATTTGCCTGTATTTAAATACATAGTATTTCACATAGTGCACTAAATTATACTGAAATGTTTTTTGTATAGTTTTCAGGATGACTATCACGAACCTGAAAAGTTTTATGACTGCTGTCCCACCCTAAAACTACTAATTGATTCAGGCCATGTTATGGTGTTTACATGGAAAAATGGATATGAGCCGGAGCACATTGAAGGAAGTGATGATTTTGTTCCCTTTCTTTTACAGCAGGAAAAAATGAAAGTTAACCAGTTATCAATGGAAATGAGTCAAAATATATATACAGATTTAAATGTTCCTTCTGAACTAAACGAGGTTAGTTGATTCCTCCGAGTTATTTCACAGTTATTTTCCAAATCGTCAAGCCTAGCACAGGGCAATCAACTATTCCTTTTTGAGAGTTCTATTTCTATCGGCAATCTGTTTCAATGGGGTGCTCAAAAATTATGGAAACCTGTCAGTCTTTTCATGATATTTTGAAGAAAATTATATAGCGTACACATGGATTGTAATATATGGTTTTTCATATTTAAAAAAGTCGCTTCATAATATTTTTGTTCTAAATATTAAAGTCATATTTAAAAAACCCCAGGGAATTCATAGTATGAATTCATGCTATTCTGCTAGAATCTTTTTTCTTGCTCTTTTCTAAATAACTATGTTGTTTCGCTTAGCATTCTGACTCGAACTTGTTTGAGGAAATAATCATAAGCAAAATTACTTAATATTAATTATGTACCAAACAGAAATCTAACCATCTTAAGATACTGTTTATGAAATGGTGGACTAGGTGAAGTTTGACATAAACACCGTTAAATGTCGGCTCAGTGGTCCAGTAGGTTAAGCGTCCGCGTGCGGGACTGAAGGCCCTGGGTTCGAGTCACACGAGCGGGATCGTGGATGTACCTTGCCGAGGAGTCTCACAATAGAACGAAACGGCCGTCCAGTGCTTCCACGTTTCCAATGGTGGTCTAACTTTTGTGGACCATGTTTTACAACTTTAAAGTAATAAAAATAAGACCGATGAGCAGTTAACTCGCTCTTTAGTCTATAGACCAACATCTTGCCTACACCACAAATTGCCCAAGTTAGTAGAAGCCAAAGAAACTTTCTAAATCCACTCATCAGTGACCAACTCGCCAGGGCTAACGAGGTTATTAAGATAAATAAATGCAGTGACCGTAAATATTTGGACTGATTAAGGTGTGTTATTTTTGTGATCGGACCTTTCTCATTACTTTCTTTCGTTATGATCTAGTAACGTTCCTGTGAATGCCAACCATCCATGAAAGACACTTTTGGCGGCTCCACAACAGCTGGGTGCACGAATCCTATCTTGGAGCTTAAATTCTGTGATTTTAATCTGATCGATTACCTGACCGACCACCCTGGCTTGTTATGACCTCAAGGACCAAATGTTCCAGTTAGCATAGTTCAATTACATATCCGCAATAAACAAGTCCAACTACCATACCACAGCAGGAACTCTACAGTCGTGCATAATCATCCACTGCAAGGTTTATTCACCAAATATCTGGGATAACTAGTCAACCTTCTGGAAATAAATGTTTCCGATAAACGAATGTCCATTACGTTTTGCTAAAAAATGTGTAATATGTATGATCTTGAAAGACATTACACATGGTTCTGAAGAAAATACGCCTCGCAAACTTTGAATTTGAGGGAATATTCCTTCTAATAAGAAATACCCTGGTATTAACTTCTCTTACCCACTTGTTTGGCTGAGAGACGCGAATAAATAAACTCATATAAATGTACTAAGTTTTAGACAAAAATGTACGCAGTTGGGGGGGGGGACAACTTATAGTTGATGAACTAGTATTCTCCGTAGCTTATCAGTTAATGAGCAACTGTAAACCTTAACTGTTCATTCCACCTTGTTATATCCTAACAGTCACTCTCAGTTATCCAATACTAAACACGGTGAATCACTGGGCTCAATAAAATTAATATGTGTTGATTCATGTCTAGCAGCACAAATGATAACAAGTACAGAATTTCCATAATTTTAATTTGTTAACGTGTAGAAAAAGTATTTCTGTTATTTAGAACTATTTCACATCAGATTCCGATGATTGCTTGTTTTCTTTGTATCTTCTCTAGTTTGATTATATCATTTGATTGCTTAGAATTATTGACCATGAGTTTCTTATGCTTTATCTGACTTGTAAGCTTATTCCTCTGTGACTCCATAAAGATCATTTTGAGTTATTGCTGAATCAGATATTATTGTTTTATAATGGGAGTATTAATATTAAGATCAACTTCATAGCGTTTGTAGACTTTTTATCAAAATATTATCTGTAAATAACCACGTATTTTGTATCCAATGTAGATTTTGTGGGATGAAAACGAAGTAGGAGCAATAGATTTTGGTCCTTTTGATGTAGAGTCTGTGGAAAACATTGAAATTGAAAGAGAAGACGTGGTATCAACCTCTTCATCCGGAATGCCAGATAATCCAAGCGTTGATTCTGCCAGTCAGTCTAATATTCCATCGTCAATAAACGAAAGAAAACCAATAGTTGCTTCTGGTGCATTTGCTCGTTATCTTTTAGACTCAGCTGATGGACGTCAAGCTCTTTTAAATGATCTACTTGAATTGAACGCCTTTCTTCAACGTTTTCAGGAGGATTTACTCGAACGATTAGATAATGAAAGTGAGCATCGGCTCAGTAGAACTGGACGTAATGCGTTCAAACCTTCCGGTGGTATTGGTTGTGATACCATTCAGAATATTATCATACAGGTTGAAAAATGTTGTTAATAAATTGAATGCTCGTTATCAAAAAGTTATTATATTTACATAATATTTATAGTTTTCCATACAAGTTTTTCGTAACTTATATTACGTTCCTCATACTTCCTGAAAGATATCGCTTCATTTTGCAGTATAAAATAAATTCACCTGAAATGCTATCAGAACAAAATATGAGTTTGTCGACACTTTCTAGAGACTTGACTATTATACCATAAATGTTTCGGAAGCGATTTGATACGACATAAATCATTATTTAGTTTTATGATAATAGTTTTCTGTTTGTGTGGTACAGTGATCATCACAATCTTGTTGCGATAGAATCCCTTGTAATCTTAAATTTGACCCACATCAAATTACTTCCCGATAAATGCATCTAACTTGTTCTGTCATTTCCTATAAAAATCTTAAATACAACGTACGAAATATGTTACTCCCTCATTGGAGTTAAAAATACGCATTTACATATTGTAGGGTACTGTGATGTACTTTATCATCAATATTCCTTCTGTAGAGTACTTTACTAGACAAACATGCCCTTTTCCATTAGATTTGTACCTGAAGGCACTTTTCATATTCGTTTTAACTTTAGTCAAATTACAGATCAAGAAAAAGAATTTTTCGAAACCTTTGTATTAATAAACAGATAGTAACCAATCTATAAATACCCTGATAATAAACCGCAGGTGCAAACTTTTTTGGTTTAATTATTTTCCCAAAAGCACTACAAGCAGCATTGTTTGAAGAATAACAACCATCTCATTGTTTCCACATAGGTAATTTATTGAAAATCGGGTCAGAAAAGCTGATGTATTCGACGTGTAATTTAGGTAATCTACAAATAAAACTGAATTGTGGTCATAGAACATACAGCAAACTTCCTGGTTTTTTTACCGAAACTATTTATAACTAGATTCCATTTGGCTCTGTCTTAACAAGCCAACGTTACATTTGTATATAAAATTAGTCTGTTGTCTATTTGTGATATCATTATCTAAGAAATTACTCATAGAAAGCATATGAAATATGTGCCTGTTTTATTAATTTAAGAAATAAATATCGAATATAATTCAGATCAGCACTAATAGTTTTCTTATTGACTAAGACTTGAGTCTGAACACCAGTAAATAAAACTTTGACGTACGTACGTAATCTTATCCGGAAAGAAGTCTATTTAAAAATTTTACTGAATCCAAACTATCGTCCAAATGTTTGGATATTACATTACTATTACCCAATGCCTTGCTCTAGTTCTTCTAATATTACTTTTTTGTATTTATCTTTCTTCAGTCAGTTTATACTTGCTATTTTTATTGTGTAATGTTGGAAAACCAGCGCACTTGCAACAAATTGTCCTTACTATTTCGCGGAACAATGGCTAGTGATAGAAATGTATTCAGTAGTCGTATACGAAACTCCGATTTACATCTATTGTTTGGAGGTATTTTACAGTCAGTCTGTTAATCATGTTATATGTAGGTATTTGTTATATAGGCTATTTATAACAGATCAAATATGTAGATGGACATAACTCCAGCTTCATTATTATCATATGTTGTTGTAAAGTCAATGATATCTGGATACACTAATAGTTGAAACGAATTACTGCCCTTTAACTAGCTGAATATCGATTTCTTTGGCATAAAACTTCTACTCGATACAAAAATATGTCATAAATCCCTTCTTATATATCATTTATAATTGAAGATATGTCAAGAAATTATAAGGTTCAATAATAACTCACATGTATCAAACCTCTTCATTGTTATCAATATACGTAATGCTTTCATACTTTACGTTTGTTTTTTTTTTTTTTAGAATGCTCCAAATGATCTTCTGTCATATACATCAAATGACATATCTAAAATGATTGAACTTGTTAAAGAAGCTTTGAATAAGCTAACTACAAGGTAGTTTTAATAGTTACTACTCTATAGTCTAAATATGAGATATCTACTATATGTAACTAATCTATGACTTCTTTTTTGTTTATTTAAAGTTCTTTGAGCCAATTAATGATGATACGAACTAGAATAGGATACTTGGATCGATTGACTTATCGACTTTTGGACTATAGACGTCAAGCAGAACTGGCTAGAACAAGATGTAGTCAAACACAGAAACTGATCGATAAAGCATTAATGGAGCAACAGGAGAAGACAGCACAACTTGCGGAACTCAAGAACTCTTGTAAGAAGCTAGTTAGCTTTGTAAGTTTTGTGCAATTCACTCACATATTACCACTTTTGTCTATTTCAGTACTTTAATTATGTGTTTGTAAATTACCTTTAACCTGAGGTGTTAGGTTATGTAACTTTGAATCTATTTCGTACTATTAAACTATTAGACATTTGTATTCCTGTGAAAATCAATATTCATTTGATTATAACCCTGTCACGCAGTATCAAACACTTGTTAGTAATCACTCGCAATATAATCTCAATGATTACCTAATTCATCAGGCTTTATTCTAATATACAGTAATATTTATACGAAAATGTTAAACCAATCAAGGCAATTTGGGTCAGTAATTACAATGAAATAGGATAAGTCATCACATAATAGATAAAAGTACAAGTTGATTGTAGGAAGGCAGGTGTACTGATAGTAGGTAAGAATAAGAAAATACGATAACAAGTCTTATCAATAGTTAAACATTGGAAATAGTAGGTTAAACATGGGTAAATGGAGTAGTCATCACAAAACATTAAAATCATTACGTAATAAGAAGTGTGTAAATAATTAGATAGTGAAGAATGCAAACGGAAAGAGGCGGATAATTCCAAACAAATAATGGATGTGTAAATAAGGTTAATAATAGAATACTACTAATAGTAATAATAAAAGAAAAGTAAAGAAAATAAAAATGAAGAAATAAAAATTAATCTTTAGTTAAGTGATAACCGGCCATGGAAGGGATAGGGGAGTTACAAATTTCTTCTGTACACATAGATTGGGGTTATATGTACGAATTCCTATGGCTTCAGCTATATGTAAGAGACGAGAAAGAACTCCGTTGGGAAATGATGCAGGTATACGATAGATCACTCGAAATGATTTCGATTTATCTACCGCATGACCACTATCAATAAGATATACCAGGATTGAACTGCGTACTGTTTTTATCTGGCCGTTGGTAAATGTTCACTCATTCGTTGGTTAAGTTGCCTGGTTGTACGCCCGATATAGCTATCTCCACAGGAGCAGCTGAATTTGTAGATGCACGTTGAGGAGGCCAACTCAGGTAGCTTATCCTTCGTTTGAGTAGACATCGCTGGTCGACAAGAGGAAGTCAACGCAAGATTGGCTGCGTAAAATGTTCTGCTGATTACTTTCGTTAACCTATATTTCAGAGTATCACTAGCCACATCCCCGTCGAATTGTAGTTTCATGTATAAAGGTTTCTTACGAACTGTCGAAATCTCGGACCTGAGTTGGCTTCCTCAATGTCAGCGATTGAAATTCAAATAGCTCCAATCGCTGAGATTGTTTCAAATATAATTTTCACATATAGTGACTTCTTCCTACTCGGCGCCCGATTTCTGTCGAACTATTCGTTCTAATCTTGACGAATATTCGTATAAAGTACATATTCTTGCTTCATAATTTCAGTTGGAGGATGAACTATCAAGAATCTGTAATCGCCAAGTGCAAATAACTGGACAGTTTTGCGACCTGTGATAGGATATGCTAATTCCACATTTATTAAATATATATATTTACCCATAAATCTCCTAGTTTTGCTTTCTACATTAGGAACTTTTTCCTCGCCCGATTTTGTTTACGTAAATTTGTTGTCTCTTAAAAGTCCACCTTTGGTTTTCCCTATTTGAAGAAGATACTGTGAAAACGTACCTCCTCACAAAAGTCCACAGTCGCGTAGAAGCGGCTAATAATTATGTCCACTTTAGCTGTTCTAGATTAAACCTCTGAGTGAAATGCTCGGGGAGTGCGCCCTAAGAAAACCACATACCCCAGTCTGGGCACCCGGGCAGTATCTCAGCCGTCACGTAAACCGAGTGATTTGTGTGACGCATATGTATTCCCTACCTCCCTGCATGATCGTTTCAAAAAATGCAAACCAAGTTTAGTAAGCGCCTCGAGCCACTCACCTTCCATGACTGCCTACTTTGAGGGATATTCCTAATGATGTCATGTCAAGCCACGAACTACATCCCCACTCTACTTACACGGCAAAATCGCTTTTGACCGTACCTAGGGCGATATGACGTCAGACCCAAGCAGATTAGTCACCCGACCCTTACCGATACCCGCCGAACTGTACGTGACAGCTTGTGTACACTGAGAACCACGCAGTTAATGCTTAATATGCAAAATTTCAGCCGATCATCTCAAACTCCGTTCTTTTGTCTCCATAGCAGTCATCCTTTTTCCTATGATCTTAACCTTTTGCCACCACACATCGCACTTCCAAGTGACGTACATACTACTAATACCTAACATCAGTAGCACGCATCACACTACTCCAAGTTACTTTGTCTAGACATGATCCCCGCTTGGAACAAGCTGGATGCTTTACGACGCGTTCCAGCTCCTGATTCATTTATTTAAGGGAAGCCATAGAAAAAAATCTCGAGAGTTTGTACGGCTAACTACGGATATGCAGCCAAGTTGTTTCCACAAGCAACTTAGCTACACTTTATTTTCGTCAATCTGTTTATTAGCATAATCTCCAGGTGCACAACCCAAGCAAAATTAGCAATGTCAAGGAATTAGCTTTCTAAAGACCTTTGGAACCAACGCATAGAACGCAGGTCGCTACCGGCCACAGAAGTGCGTTATTGTGCTGCCCCCTATACACGCATAGAGTACCCCAACCAGTTCCTATACTCTTTCCCTAACCAGCATTAAAATACAAGGCGTACTGATCACACTAATGTAGGTTTCAAACCCACAAAAGCCGTCCGAAAAGGGAATCAAGAAAGTTAGTAGTTAGTGTTTTATTATTGGTAAGTCAGGTTCAGAGTACATTTGACGCTACCTGACACGAAGGTCACAAGTTCGTAACCTAGAGGATATTAAATACCTAAAAAGAAAAACAAGTGATGCATCATTGCATGGAAAAACTTTAAGTGCAGAACTCAGAGAAATGCCTCCTCAGTAACATCGGAGACGAAAAGTAAGTCATCACAAACACACCACTTACCTAGTCCAACAACGTCGACAACCAAATTGACCAGGACGCAGCATCAATGACAATCGTGGTCTATCATTTGACTCAACCTTTCACTGAATGCGTTGAGATGGTGCTTTATTCACATGATGGGACAAGGAATTTTATTCTATAAGGAGCCGATAGTCAGCTGACAAGTTATCTGCTCCGAGCTCATGAACTTTTTCAGTATCCTTGGAAATTGGGCTTCAGTAGACAAAAAGAATGAAGGCATATCAGATGCAAATTTATTACTGAGCAATTTGAGAAACTGATCAAGTCGCCTTCAGTTCCTTCATGTGAAAATGGTGGTAGGCTTAGTTTGGCCACTCGAACATCGTACGGATGCTTTCCTATCCCGGTAATCAACTTAGTTGCGACCCTTTGAACACTTTCCAACAGCTCGCTGTATCTTTTTGGACAGAAGCCAGCTGCTAGTAAGCAGAACCCAGTTTGGGATGAATGAATACTGTACACAAAGTCAGAAACTTTTTGACATCTACGCAACCCAAGACTACATATTAGCAAAGAAACCCGATAGCTAGGAGGGCCCCCAAATGCCCTGGTACAGTCGAAAGTGGAGGGAGTCCGCTCTCCCTCTCGAAATACTGTCATATGGCCACGCGTATATAGCCTCTGCCAGGGAAGTCCTACTCACTGCCTTCACGTGGCGGGGCGTTGTTTAAGAAAATGACAGGACGAAAAGCGAATGTCCGACGCTTTAACCGGATCTCAAATCAATAGTGCACATGGGTTCCAGCATCCAGAGGGAACAAATGACGTATGAACCAATCGTTGGTCACCGGCTAACGTGGGACTGCATCTCCTCACGATGCTCTACTGCCTTGTGGGTTAAACCTTCAGGTCGAAGGCTCGGGGTGTGGCCCCCTAAGAAAACCACCTGCTTCGGTTTGAGCACCCGAGCAGTATCATAGCCCACACACAAATCAATTGAGATTCGTGTGGCGCATATGTATTTGGTGCCTCCTTGTACCAATATCTATGTGTTAAAATAAATAAATAAATAAGATAGCTTAGAGGGCTACTGCGCGACAGGATGCAGTGGATCCCGGGTCTTGACGAGTAACGCAACATGTATCCGTGCCTTGGTGACCAATATGCAGCGTAATGCACTCGAGAACATTTACCGACAAGTGCCAAAATAAGGACCGTTCAAATAATTTCTACAGATTATTCGGAGCACTGAACTATCACATTCACTTCTCATCGCTCTCCATCTTTATATTATCGGCATGACAAAACTGGTGATAGGGAAATAGGAAGATCATTTACATAAAGACCAACACTTGTTTTAAACCTACACCTACGAATACTTTACTAGGTTGATGAATTAACAAATTATAGCAGTTCCCAGCTGGACCTGTGCCCTTTGTCAGCGATCAACTTGTCACAAACAAATATATCATTAGAATAGTATGCTGTCGTGTGGAAGTTCATAAAAGCGTGACCGAAGTCAATGAAGGTTATGTCTATGGATGCAAACAAGTGATGTCTACTCGCAACATAAACCAAAATATCGGGGGAAACTGACATGTCAGTTTGGGATATATATTTCATAATACATATTTGAAACGAACAATGAGAAAACGATATCTTTGACAACAGCTCTATAGAGCTGAAATTTGTTCAGCAGCCTGTGTTAAGAAAAGTCAAAACTACGAATTGTCCTTACCAGCAATTTCACCTTTTATTACGCGACAACTTTAGGCCTCACACAATGCAGGTACTATTATCGAACATATGGTCTGAATGCCTTTCACCCGCCTACCAAATACGAGCACCACAACCAACACTCAGCGACAGTTAAGCCATGGCCAGTCTGATCAGGCGCTATCAGTTAGCGAAGACTAGAAAACTAACATGTCGACAGTGTCCAAAGCTAGAAAACTGTTTATTTCGGTGAGCTGTTTTGCTTTTAGCTGAAAAGTGATATTACTACAGTTTAAAAACCAGTAGTGCGATTATTATATGATTGGGTATGTCGCGCGCTGTTTAGAAACAACAAATGTATTTTACCTCTCTGGATTTAATTTCGGGTTTTAGTTGTTTATTACTGTTCAAGACCACTACTTTTCATTTTAACTGATCTAATTTCAGTTAAAGTGACCCAGCAGTATGGTTTATTTCGAAAGTAGTTCAGCATAGGTATATTGGTGTTTTGTTTGTCGCAGTTTTTAATCTACCATTTTACGATTTCACCTCCTTCTGGTCATCGGTCTTTTTGTGTATGCCTATTGCCTGAGTTTTCTGAAACTTCTGGCTGGAAACAGCGTAAAAGGCAATTACCATGCCCGGTCTGTCGATATCTTGTGGAAAAAGGCATGCAGTACGATGAGTGTAAAGGCATCACGAAGTTTTTACGAACCCAACGATTATGGCTTTCGAACTGTTTAGTAAAGGTGGGTGCGCAAATTTGTGTCAGAACTGCTTCACGGGAGCTAAAACGCTTTCATTCAGAAGCCATTGCACTGGCGAATGCTTTTAAAGGGAGTATTAGCATGCGTAATCGCGATGGATACATAAGTTAATATAGAATCAATTGACTGACATTGACCAAGGGAGGAAGGATAAAATCCAAGGAGGTCCGTTAGAAATAAAACCTCGGGAAGGGAAGCTTTTTTTATCCCCTGTCCTCCGAATGGCGGTGGGCAGGAAATGCCTGGAAAACCTAGTCGTAAGGCTAGGTCTGTTTTTAGCAGGGAAACAAAAGCCTGACCATCCAAGTCATCAACAATCATCCAGTATCCCACAGTATATATTACGCGACTGTGGTTGTTACTCCAAAGATAGTTAATGAATGGGTACGAATCAAGAATAAGAAACGACCTCATGTTGCTGAAGAAAAGTCAGTTCCCTAAACTGTAGCTAAGAAACTGAAGACTGATCATAGTAATAGGTCAGTTGTCTTTTGTAGAGCCAAGGAAAGTGAAATTTCAGAACCCAGAACTCGATTTGAACATAATATTAGTATGATAATAGATTTACCTAGTCAGATAATGACCCAACAAATCTCTGGGGTTACATTGCTGAAGATTTGTAGACTAAGTAGCCAAACGGACAAGAAACAGAATCATATCACGCTGCTGAAATGGGTACTTAAGTCTCCCAATGAAAGGAACCCAATACAGCAAAACGAACACTAAACGCATCAAAAGTTTGTATTTGTAAAGACTTGTCGCTCACGAACAAAATCTAAGGTGAGTTGCTGGCAAGAAAGCTTTTGAAACTGTAAATTTCCGGATAGTGAGGCTTCGATAGAGATTTATGCCGAAGCCACTTAAATGGTCTTTGGATCTGTTACACAAATGCCGGCAACGTACCTAATAAGCTATCGAGCTAGGTGTACAGATAGACTCTACCTCGCCTAATGCAATCTTTGTCACAAAAACTTGCCTGTCCTAGTCTGCAGACAGTAAAGAACTTGATTCCAGAAGTCTCAAA